GAGCAGGGAGCCCGATGCGGGACTCGATCTAGGGACTCCAGGATCATGACCTGAGCCGAAGGCAGTCGCTTAACCAACTGAGCCACCCAGGCGCCCCTCATCTGAGTTTCGAAAGATACATTTTGATCTTGATTTTTTTTTCCCACCTGTCATATTAAGCACCCTTCATCTGTTGCCCTGAGCATCCTTGTGTCACCTACAAATTCCATAAGCATCTTTTTGTTTGTTTTCGTACAAGTGAGTGATTAAAATGTTGACGGGGACAGAGCCAAGAAGAGGCCTGTGGTACTCCAGCCCCGAGGGACCTACAGACACCGACACCAATTAAATAATCGACACTCCAGCCTATCTGCTCAGTGGGCTACAGGACCACTAAGGTATTGACCATGGCGTGGGCACATGTCAACTTTTCCACAAGGACCTCCAGAGAGATTCTGTTGTGCTTTACGAAAATCACAACACGCTATGTCTTCGCGTTGCTCTGACCTCCCCAACCTAGCACGAGGACAAAAGGAAACTAATTTAATTCGTAGCGATTATTCTAGATGAATCCAAGCTCGCACCGGTGGTCGCCATATTCTTTTCTAAACACTCACAAATCCCCTGATTATCATGCATGCCCAAAGGGGAGGGTTTGGTGGGAGCTAATACTATCACTGGACTTCTCTCCCCTTTCAAGGTGCCCACCTCTGGGTGCTTCTCAAAGATTAAAGACAAGGCACTGAAATCCCTTTGCAAACCCTTTAGAACCCACCACACATTTTGACTTGAATCCATAAAAAGCAGCCCAATCTCCTGGTCATAGAGCCTTGCCTGTCCTTGGAGGGTTTCCTCCCTTTTATTCCTTTCCCCCTTTCAGTCCCACATGGGAAGCCCCCTAGCAGGGATGCCTCCAGAACTGGGCAGCAAAGATGAGTCCTAATCATCCTTTCTTTCTTTCTTTCTTTCTTTTTTATCCTCAGCATTTAGGGGGCCTAACACACAGCGGGGCTCCATAAATGTTTGTTAAATGAATGAATGTGATCTTTCAAGGCCCTTGTCCCCAAACCATCTCCTCCAAGAAGCAGTGCCTGTCTAACTCACCTCAAGTTGGCTCTGTGTACCGAAGTCACCTGGCCACTCCCCCGCGTGGCTTAGTAAAGGGGACAGGGAGAGCCATCGTGTGGATATATTATTGTAGGCTAAACTCTCACCCAGAAACAGCACTCTGTTTTCTATGCTTTGGGCCCCACGGAATACATGGTATGTCCGGAACCTTTCTTTACCAAATGAGACCTGATTTTGACAAGGTGTGTGTACCCCGCCCGGGCATCCACGCTCACCCAAGATGCTCATCACCACCAGGATGGCGAACAGAAGGACCGCAATGGCCCCCAGCAGGAGACGTGTGGTGGTGTCTGAGGAGAGAAAGAGGGGTTCAGTACCCGGCCACCCACACCCCACTGCCAAGCCCCACCGCCAAGCCCCAGGTCCCGACGCCGGGAACTCTGGCCTGGGCCCAGCAGTCTGAGTTTTCACAAGCCCTCCGCGGGAATCTGCTGCTCACTGAAGTCCCAGAGCCGCTGTTCTGGAGCCCAGGTCTGAATCTTCGACCCGGCTGCCTAAACCCACCCCTTCCAAGGCTCTGCGCTTGCCCTCTTCCGTGGCACCAAACTTTCCAGTTCTTACCTCCTGCCGCTTCTCGGCCTGCTCCCGGTTTCAGCCACATGGAGTCCCTGAAATAACCCAGCCTGTCCTCACAGCCCCGAGGCTGGGTCTTTGCCCCCGGAGCTCTTCTCCCCCCTGCCCCGCTACCCCTGGAATCCTGCCCACCCTGCCCCTTCCATCCTCTTCACAAAACCTCCCCTGATCCTCTGCCTTCCCCGCTTTTAAATTTTTATTTATTTTTTTGTTATCACTGAACATTTTTCTTTTCTTTTTAGCGGAAGAACCCTTTTAGACCTTAGACATAGACTCTATTTAAGTTTTTCTTACTGTCATTAAACAGACATAACATCAAAGTTGCCATTTTAACCATTTTTAAGCGCACAATTAGCGGCATTAATTCCATTCATGATATTGTGCAATGATCCCCACTGTCTATTTGCACAACTTTCTCACCACCCAAACAGAAACTCGGTACAGATTAAGCTTTCACTCCCGGTTCCCACCTCCCCCAGCCCCTGGTTACCTGCAATCTACTTTCTGGTCTCTATGAATTTGCCTATCCTAGAGATTTCATGTAAGTGGAAACATACAATACAATGTCCTTTTGTGTCTGACTTATTTCACTTAACTCAATGTTTTCAAGGTTCATCCATGTTGTACCATGTGTTAGAATGTCATTCCTTTTTATGGCTGAATAATACTCCATTGTATGAATATATGTATATATATACTCCTATATACATATATATTTGCTGTTGTTTATCCATTCATCTGTTGATTGACACTTGGGGGGAACATGAACATCCAGTCCATAACAGGGCGTCCCCCAGAACCTTCTGAGCTGCTGCAGTCTGATTTTGCCTTCTAAGCCCACCGCCACGCTGAAATCCCCTTTGCCAGCGGCCTGAGGTTCTCTCTGCCTCCCTCATGTACAGCCTCTCCTGCCCCTTCTATCCTACGTCATCCTTTTCCTTAGTTTACTCCCTTGTTCTGGTGGAGTACATCTTCCACTGCCCTGCACAGCCCCAGCGGCAAACCTTCACGCTGGGTCCTGCAGTGAATGCTGCCCCTGGGGTTGTGAACCCAGAGGCCTGAGTACTACAGGTTGGAAAGAATTCTCCTTCCAAAGAATGTTGAAGGCATTACTTAATTGTCTTCTAGTTCCAGTGTTGCTCTTGAAAAATGGCTCCAGAGCCATCCTCATCCATGATCCTTTTAATATCATTTGCTTTCCGTGTCCCGCCCCCACCCCTCAGAAACTTTAAAGGATCTTTTCTATGACACAGTCTTCTAAAATTTCATCATGCATGCCATGCCTTCGTTTGGGTCCATTTTCATCCACTAGACTAGGCAATCAATGGACCTGTTCAATCTGGAAGCTCATGTCCTTCAGTTCCAGGAAATTTTCTTCAACTATATCATCAATGGTTTCTTCTCACCCACTTTCTCCATCCACTTTCTGGAGGTCATATTCTTCAGATGTTGGACTACTTGAATTGGTCCTCTGAGTTTCTTTCCTTTTTTCTCCCTTACCCACTATCTTTTTGCCTTTTTGCTCTATTTCCTGGAAGGTTTTTCTCAACTTTATCTTCCCACTCTCTCCCGAATTTTCCATTTCTGCAATTATTTTTAATTTCCAGGGTTGTTTTTTTGTTTTGGCTGTGGTTTGCTACTGTTCTCAGTAGCATCCTGTTTTTAATGATGCCATATTGGAGCGCCTCGGTGGCGCAGTCTGTTGAGCGTCTGACTCTTGGTTTTGGCTTGGGTCCTGATCTCGGCATAATAGGATACAGCCCCTGCCTTGGGCTCTGCACTCGTGCTGGGCATGGAGTCTGCTTGGGACTCTCTCTGCCCCATCCCCTCCTAAGATAAATAAATAAATCTTTTCTAAAAAATGATGCCATGTTTTCTCTTACCTCTTTCTGGATATTACTGATAGTTTTTTGGAGGCGGAGGAGGAGAGGACAGGGGGGCAGAAAGGTTATTTCTCCCTGTATAGTCTCTTTTTCCTCCAAATTGCTTTTTTTCCTGTTCATTTGTTTTGGTCTGTGGTTTCCATGTCATCAAGATTCCTCGGATGTCTGGAGATCCTTGGTTATTTGTTCCTGATTAAGGCAGGAGGGAAGAGTCCATTGGAGCCTCCGAGACTGGGGAGGGGCTTATAAACTGTGGGGTCCCAGCAGAGTGACCAGGCTGGGCTGGTCCTCAAGGTGCTCTGAGTGCCAGCCTCCTGGGGTTTTTCCTCTGGGGTGGGCCAGAGTTCCTGGAGAAGGCTCTTCTGTTTCCCTCCTGAAGGGTGTAGGCTTGACCAGGAGGAGAGGCTGGGAGGCCATCCTAAACATTCATTATGTACATGTCCCCTTAACTGCTTGCTCCCAAATGTACTGCCCTCTCTCAGACTTAGCCTCAGGCTCCTGCCAGGGCTGGGAAGAGGACCTGGGCAACTAAATCCTTTCTAAAATATTCAACCAGCCCTCCTATTTCAGCTCTATCTTCACTCACTGCCATGATGACTGGTGCCCCCCATCTCCATACTTTGGGGGCTCCTGTGTGTGACTCAGTTTGCTCCTCTGCTTTCCGAGCCTTCTCAGGCCAATAGAAGCAGCTCCCACTCATCATTGATCCCTAGCTCCCAACTGTATTGCTATTGTCTTCTCTCCCGTTCTTGTTGTCCTTAGGGCCTTTGAAAAATCCCTTTACTGTCATGTCAGTGGGCTTCTGGAAGGAAAGAGGAAAAATGTGTGTGTTCAGTCTGCCATCTTTACCTGCAAGTGCAGCCATCGTTTTGAAATCCTTCCCGTGAGCAAGGACTGTGCTGGCGAGTGACCAGGAGTCCAGAGGCAGGTGGCTGTGGGCACGGTAGGAGCAGAGCCTCACGCCTGCCCTCGCGGGCTGGGCTCTTTCTGTGTCTGCTCCTTGTCCTCAGTGGCAGCCTCAGTAGGGCTCAGTAGGATCAGCCTCAGTAGGGCTGATCCGCCTGATCTGCCTGATGACCCCCTGTGGCAAGCGCACTGCCTGGATCCTTCCTCTCCCTTCTCTACGGGCCCCTCTAGGCCCATACAACTGGAACCATAATGCTTTGTGCATTGAAGGTAAGAGCATCACGTCTTAAACCACTTCACTGGGTTCAAATCCCAGTTCAGCCACTTTCCTAGATGGTTTAGTAACTTTTCATGACAAAGTCACTTTGCTTCTATTTTATTTCATTTTCTTCATCTTTATTTATTTATTTTTTAAAGATTTTATTTATTTATTTGAGAGAGCGAGAATGAGAGAGAGCACATGAGAGGGGGGAGGGTCAGAGGGAGAAGCAGACTCCCCGCCGAGCAGGGAGCCCGATGCGGGACTCGATCCTGGGACTCCAGGATCATGACCTGAGCCGAAGGCAGTTGCTTAACCGACTGAGCCACCCAGGCGCCCTTTTTTCTTCATCTTTAAAACAAAGGAATAGTAGTATCTGCCTCTTAAAACTTTTTATGAGAAGCCAATGTTCAGGGCTTAGCAGAGTGTCTGGCATAGCAAGCTCTGGTTCAATGTTAGCAATTGCCATGATGATGATGATGATGATGATCATGATGGTGGTGGTGGTGGTGAGCCCACAGTCTCCTTTAGGGAAAGGGCTGTGCTTTACTTGCCTTTGTGTTCCCTACAGTAGGCAAAAAAAAAAAAAGCCATTGCCTTGCATGTTACAGAGCACCCCCGGATACTGAAAGGGGAATTTAGCTACACTGAATGACAATGTCCTTAGTCAGCCTTAAACTCAGCTGACTTTGTAGGAGAGGCCATGTGGACATACAGCTGCTCTCTGGGGGCGGGGAATCTGCACACGCTTCTCCAATGTCACCAGAACCAAGGAGCCTCTTCATTCTTTCCTGAGGACAACAGCTCTGGACACGGCACCGCGGACAGGAAAAGGACACTCCAGGGAGTCCCGGCTCGTTGCTCACTGCTGCCCTCACAGAGGACGACTGTGGGGCTGGACGATCCAAAACAGCGTTGTATTCGTTTCCTAGGGTTGGGAACAAACCCCACAAACTGGATGGCCTACAACACCGGAAACTTATTGTCTCACACTTCTGGAGGCCAGAAGTCCCCAGTTAAGGCACCAGCAAGGCCGCAGTCCCTCTGAAAGTGAGGGGAGTCCTTGCTCGCTTCTTCCTGGCTTCTGAGGTGCTGGTGACCTTCCTCAACCCTGGTTTGCAGTCCCCTCATTCCAGGCTCTGCCTTCTTCATCACACAACCTTCTCCCTGGTTGTCTCTGTCTTTATATGACTGTTGTCTTATAAGGAGCCCACCCACTCCAGTATGCGCCTATCTTAACTAATCACATCTGCAATTACCATATTTGCAAATAAGGTCCCGTGCTGAGGAGCTGGTGGTTCAACTGCTTCAACGTAGCTCTTTGGGAGAGCAGGAGGAAATAGAATTCAAGCCGTAAGAAGGGTCTAACTCAACAACCATTCCTTCCATGCAATCGTCCACAATAGATGGACTCTGAGGATGCAGTTACTTATGTTTATAAATGCATATGATTTAGCCTCATGTTGGAAGGGACAGCTGAAAATCTGGCTCCTAAGCCAAACAGATGCTCTATCACCCTCACACCCAGAGCCCAGAGGAGACTCACTGCTGACCTCTCTGAGTTGTCAGAGCCACAGTTTCTGTGCATAGTCTTGACTCTTTGAAACTATCAAATGTAGAGTTTGGTGATTTTTAAATTTTTAAAGGCTTTACTAAATGCATGTGTGTGGTTTTGATCAGGAAGTTGTGGGTTGATGCCTAATCAAGAAACTTTCAACATTAAAAATTCAGAATCGGTGAGCTCTGAAAAATCTATAGCCTGGCGATAGGCAGAATCACTCTGTCCCCTGCCGTACCCCCAGGTCACTCTTCCCCATCCCCACCCCCGATGCCAGAAATATCCCCATCTCCAGTCACCCCCAGTCTTTCTAGAACCCAGGCCGAAGCAACGGGTCATGTTTCCCAGCCCCTCCCCAGAGGTGGGGGTGGCAGGTGGAAGGAAAAGTGATTAGCCACCAGGAGAGAAGGCTTGATCAGGAGAACTTCTGTTTGGCTTTATATTTATACAGCTAATTGTTCATCTAAGGAAAGTCGTGAAGTCCTGAGCTCTAATCCCAGTTTAAATTTAAGAAGTTCTCCATTTCGCTTAACCCGGGAGGAGAAAAAGAGGGTCCACACTGGAGGCGGCAGCGTTGTCTGAGGATCACGGGCAGGAGAGCTACACGCACCCCAATCACAATTCATTTCCGTCCCCTGGGCCTCATGAAGTCCGAGATCCTTGGTCCATGCGGGATGATACAAGAACTCTCAGGGCAGAGGGCCCTTGTGGCAAACATGCCTTAGCAACCAACATGTGTCCTTGGTCAAGACACTTAGCCCCTCCGAGTCTGTTTCCTCATCTGCAGAACAGATAGAGCACTCAGCAGCCCCAGTAGGGTATGTGTGAGGATTAAATGGGACAGTATCGTGAAAGCCCTGAGCATGGGGTCCAGCACACCGTAGGTGCTTCCGAAATGTTTGCTGCGTGGTAATAAAGGAGTGTTTAGCTTGGTCAAGTCCAAAAGTCTCCCACTTGTCTCAAGACAGGTACTTGGCTAAGCAAGGGCTGCACAGTCCTTGGCCCTCAGACCTGGCAGACCCGTCATCCCATCACGGGTGTTTCTCAGTGTCAGTCGACTGGGCTCATTTCTGTGGACTTCAGTTTGGAGTGGGGAGCCGACTCAAGGTAGGTAGACCAGCAGTCCAAGGGTTTCAGCTGAGCTCCTGCATCACGGGTGCAGGATGCTAAGTCCAAAGAGCTGGGGAGAGGAGTCACCTGCACAGCCTACCCCACTGTGTGGCCCTGAGAGGCAGAAATCATTATCCAGCTTAGTAGATAAGGAAACTGAGGCTCAAATGAGCTTGAAAACCTGCCAGCCCATGGTGGTGGAGGATATGGCTTGGGTTTACCCGACTCCAGACTTTGTGTTCTTTGTACCTCACCAACCTGCCTCAGCCCCTGTCCTGTGATTTCTGCCCACACAGCAACACCCTGGAGAGACCAGTCCTGGTCCCTGAGCTCCCCTCTTCTGACAGGAGATGGGGGTGCCAAGGGAACACCCAGCAGACCCTCAGAGCACCAGTGGAGGAGAACACCCTGGACTCGGACCCCAGATACTAAAACTACTGTAGAAAAAGCCCATGGGCCTCAGATGCTGAGCCTCCAAGGACCACAGGCATCAAGGGTGAGCTGCTTCTGGGTAGACCATGGGGCGAACCAGAGGAGGCATGAGACCCAGACCCAGACCTGGTAAGGAGCCACACCAGGACAGGCAAGACAAGGCTGGAAGGCTGGACACAAGTAGGCACGGGTGGAAGAGCCAGTGTCCCGTTGGGCCATTTTCCTGCCTTCTTCAGCCTAACTGCAAGTGGTCACCCAGCCCGGGTGGGGAGCAGGAAGCGGAATGTGTCAAAGTCAGGGCAGGAGGTACAATAGGAACCAGCAAGCCAGAGAGCACTGAAAGAGGCTACATCACCCCTGAAGAGGCCCTAACCATCAGGGGGCTAGAGTTAGGTTAGGGCAGACCCTGCAGGAATGCTTAGGAATGAATGAAGACATATAGGCAAAAGGAGTGAGCAACTTCAAGAAATAACTTGGGCGGGAGGGAAGCAGGGATCACAGGCAAATCCAACAATGCCCAGCAGAGAGAGGCGTTTGTCCACCTTTATTCAACTCAACTCTTCCCAGCCTGCAATGGCTCTTCTACTCCGTGAGCCAACATCTTTGCTTCCTTTGTCCCAAATCACCATCCAGGTGTCGGACCGCCCCTGCCTCCAGAGTTAGCACAGAGTTAGTCCACACCCCTGGCCCACTAGCATCTGGGTCAAACGCTGACATTACTGCCCCCACCTTTCCCTCCACGGCAAGGCACCTGCCCTGCCAAGTGCTGGCTAGGTCTCGCCCCTGACCACCACCCCACCTTCCACACTGACCTGGCCACTCTTCCAAGGGCAAATCCACTGGCTCATTGTAGGCTTAAAACCTCTCAACAGCTCCTGCAGAACAAAGTCCAAACTCTTTGGCAAGGCCTGGGTGGCCATTCACAATCTGGGCTCTCCAGATTCATCTCTTCCCATCCCTTCCCCCCATCTCAGTACTCCAGAGTTCAGTTTGCCACAAGGGAACGGCTGGTTCTGGCCACCTGGACCCTGAACATGTCACTCCTTGAGCCTGGTGCACCCTGTCTTCTCTCCACATCTAAAAGGCCACCTACTCCAGGAAGCCTTCCTTTTCTAATACTCCGTCCCTACGGGTGGTGTGACCCAGGCTCTGGGCTTCCCTAGTTAACACTGCACAGATCCTCAGCCTTTGGCCTGGGGATGTCAGGAGTACCCAGAAGTCCAGAGGGCCAGCCCTCCCCCCTGCCAACTCTAGCATCTCCCACACCACACACCACCAGGGGCCACAAAGTTTTCCAGAAGAACTCATGAACTTGAAATCTATTTTCCACTTGGTTACTGCCCCTGAGCTAGCCAGGGGTCATTCCCTGAGCCCATCTGACTGGAAGGGGTAGGTGGCACTCATGACCTTGCAAGGAAGGGCCTGAGGCATATTCTCCACATCTTCCCTCCCTATGTGCCCCCATCCCTACCAGTGTGCTCCCGGCTTCCCACCGGGGCCCTGGCACCATCTCTGGGCTCTACAGCTTTTGTCGCTTTGCCCAAAGCATTTCCACTACTACAGATTTCAGCCACCCTCTCAACATGCCCATCGGATGAGGGCCCGTCAGTACACTGTCCCCCCTTCATTCCGGAGATTGGGGCTCAGAGCACGAAACCTGCTCCCAAGGTCAAAGAGTGAGTTAGCTGCCTAGGTAGGGTCAAGGCTGTAACTCTAGGTGGTCCCTAGCTACATCCCCCCACCCCCTCCGCCCGCCATGTGGCATCTGAGTGCCCTGAAATCAGTCCTCCGGGGGCTCCCGCCCTCCCCTCTGGGAGCTTGGCCAAGGTGACTCTGACCCGGGTCCCCGGGCCGGAGTGGGGGGGGATGGGGGAGATGGAGGGCCGCTGGGCGCTTACCCTCCAAGGCCGCCTTCCAGCTGGTGCTGCCCTCATAGCCCGACCCCGATCGCCGCAGCAGCCCCTCGGGGCCGCGGCCCTCGGCCTCGGC